GAACAGAAGAGATTGTTCTGTCCATTATCTGATTAAGAGAACTGAGGGGTTCTCTTCCACGGTTAGAATGACCTGTCCTGGCCTAAATAGAATTCAGTTTGTGACAGAGTTCCTGTCCTCTCGTCAGGCCTGTGCGAGGCCTGCTTCGAGGCAGTAAATCTTGTTTCTTCATTCGAGGTGACCCCTACACCTAAGGTAGACAACGGTCAGTGGTTTAAGTGTGGAGATTCAGAGAGAAGTTCAAATAAAAGTATTACTGGTAGGGTGAAAACAATAAAACTTTTAAAAAGTGGCTSAAATAAAAACAATTTTATAAAGTTATTTATATATGAGTCTATTATCAGGTTATTCAACTGGCGGCCTGTGGGCCACATCCGGACTGTGGGTGACTTCCATCCGGCCCGACAAAATTATTATTTTTCCACTTAATATAATATAAAAAAATAGAATTCAAATTGTAAATTAAAAATTTGTTTCAGTGCAACAAAACAAACAAATTTAAAAAGTAAAAAGAGCGATTTAGTTAAATAGCCGTGATGCACTGACTAGATTTGAACAAGTTCTGTTGGTTACTCAGGATTTTTTTCATTTCAAGTTGGAAAACTTAACTGGAACTTCGACTTTGAAGCCCTGACTTCAATATTTATGGTCCTTTGCATTTGCGAACAGTGGAAGCAGCTAGCTGTAGCACTTCTGCCAGTAATTCATGATATTTCTGCTGTAGTAACTGTTTAATGTGAGCGGTATAAAGCTGTGGTCCCCAAATTTTCAGCTTCTGAACCACGAAATGGTGACTAATATCCTTGACTATATGACACAAACATTAATAAATAGAGAAACAACTAATTACACAGATTTCACCTCTTTTATGAAAATTTTTTAATTTTCTTTTGTTAAATATGCCATAAAAATGTACCAGCAAGAATTAATTTTATTGCCCATTGAGATGACGCAGCAGTAAAACCTGTTTGACGTTGGATGTTTTTGTGTCTGAGGATCTTCTTTGGTTTTCTTGTTCCTGATCTTTGTGTCTGTCGCAGTTAAAGCGTCGCCTCGTGTTTCCATAAAAACAGAGTGTGTCTGCTGCGCGGCTTTCTAAAGCCTGACGTCACGACCTCGTATATCACCTGGCACAAGTCCTCARGGTAACCAGACGAGCAAACAGACCAGACCGTCCTGTTAAAGCAGAAACGTCTGTTTCAGACGAACCGATGAGTCAAATTTAATATAAACTTTAAATTTTAGGTGATTTTTCCCCCCTGATTTCTCTGRGTTGGCTTCAATCCTCATTGTATTAAATATCTCGATGTGAACA